CGTACACATATATGAAGAAATTAGTTAGCTAGATAAATCATTAGATATATTAAAAAATAATAAGTCAGCAATAGTTATATTTATTTAATGATACATACTAGAAATAGATAAGAAGTCAAGTGAAATAAATCAATTCTCAAAATGTATGAGAATCGAAAGAAATAAAAACAACCTTTTCTATGGATATTGTGAAATAATATAGTTACTGCGTATACCCCCGACGTAAGGAGCGTCTCTTACGCTAACAAATTATATAAAAATTTCGTTCTTGAGTCATGATCTTAAAAATAGAAAGATTTCTCGACATTTTGTGGAGACGCTGAAAGTCACAATTTTACAACTTTGTTATATTTTAACAGATATATATATATATATATATAAAGACTCGAGTAAAACTGTCGTCTGCACTGTTACTAAAGTGAATGTCCTGATCGATAAGAAATCGATGGTATGAAGAAGATGATCAGCGGAGCTGAAGTGATTTCATCTGCTGACAACTGAAAGTTTATAAAGATTTGAGTAACATAGAGAATGATATGAATGGGGTGAGGCTAATATCAGAATATTTAAATAAATATTAAGAAATAAGCTTACCAAGATAGATATATATATATATATAGTAATTAAGATGTTGAAATAGTCTGTTACATGCTTAAGTGTGAAGAAATGAGAGATACGTAGTTGGAGAGAGAGACAGAGAGAGAGAGGGAGAGAGAAATGGACAGATTGAAAGACATATATACGTACAACATTATCAGATTAGATAAATAAATGGACAAAAATAATCAGACACATAAGAAATTTATATATATATATATATATATAGATAGATAGATAGATAGAGAGATATAAACATACATAAATACATACTTAGATAGATAGATAGATAAATAGATAGATAGATAGATAGATAGATAATCAATAGACAAAGATAGATAGATATGAACAGACTAGAATATATAGATATGAACAGACTGAGAAGAAATTTACATAGATAAATATCAACAGACTGACATAGATAGATAGATAGATAGATAGATAGATAGATAGATAGATAGATAGATGTGAATAGACTGAGATAGATAGATAGATAGATAGATAGATAGATAGATAGATAGATAGAGATGGAATAGATAGATAGATAGATAGATAGATAGATAGATAGATGTGAATAGACTGAGATAGATAGATAGATAGATAGATAGATAGATGTGAATAGACTGAGATAGATAGATAGATAGATAGATAGATAGATAGATAGATAGATGTGAATAGACTGAGATAGATAGATAGATAGATAGATAGATAGATAGATAGATAGATAGATAGATGGATAGATAGATAGATAGGTATGAACCGACATGGATATATATATGAACCAACAGGGTTGGATAGAAGACAGATATAATTAAACTGCAATAGATAGATAGATAGATAGATAGAATTATACTGACATAGATAGCAACAGACCGTGATAAACTGATAGATATCAACAGATTAGGATAGATAGATATCAACAGTCTAGGATAAGTAGATCGTTAGATAGATATCAACACATAGGAATAGATAGATATCTATAGACTGGGATAGATAGATATTTACAGACTGGGATAAGTACATAGATATCAACAGAATGGGATAGATAGATAGATAGATAGATAGATAGATAGATAGATAGATAGATAGATAGATAGGAACACTCTGGGAAAGAGAGATATTTACTGGAATAGATCGATATCACTAGAATGCGATAGACAGATAGATAGATATAAACAAACTGAGATAGATAGATAGATAGATAGATAGATAGATAGATAGATAGATAGATAAATAGAGAGAGAGAGAGAGAGAGAGAGAAAGATGAAGAGATTGGGATAGATCCATAGATTGATAGGAAAAGACATAGATAAGCTGAGACTTACATATATATATATATGAAGAAACTGACATATATTAATATGAAGGTACTGATATAGATATAAAAAATGGAAATTGATATGAAAGAAACATACACACACACACACACACACACACATATATATATATATATATATATATATATATATATATATATATATATATATATATATATATATATATAAATGAACAGGCACACATATACAGATATGAAATAAGTAACATAGATATATATGACCAAACTGACATAAATAGATGCATATATATAAACACAGATAGATAGATAGATAGATAGATAGATAGATAGATAGATAGATAGATAGATAGATAATTAAGACTGGCATTCGTAGATAGATAAATAGAGAAATCGATAGATAGATATGAACACTCCGGGAAAGATAGATATCTTCTGAAATAGATAGATATCATTAGACTGGAATAGACAGATAGATAGGTAGGAACAAGCTGAGATAGATAGATAGATAGATAGATAGATAGATAGATAGATAGATAGATCGAGAGAGAGAGATTTAGAGAGAGATATGAAGAGATTGGGATAGATACAGAGATATATATGAAGAGACTGAAATTGATATGAAGAGACGTGTGTATATATATATATATATATATATATATACATATATATGTATGTGTGTGTGTATAGATTTATTTATTTATTTATTATGCAATGTTATATTTATAAATATTTATTGCTCTACTTTTCTACTGAGTGCCGTTTTTCATTAATGTTTTCAACGCTGAAATCTTACTCTTCGTTCTTTACATTTGTATATATATAGATATCAAAATACTTGGACTTGGATATCAACTAAGAGGTGTAGATATGTAGATATGAAGCGACTGGGATAGATAGCTTGTTTTATATCCATTCGAATAATGGTGATAGATTGCAACAAATGTATGTCTGCTTATTTTCAATTAACTGATTATTTATTACTTAGGCATCAACATTAGGGACGTCTCTTTCTTTAACTGATTTGATCCCTTTTCAACAGTTCGGTCCTTATTTTGAAATCTAAGCTGAGATATTAATTATTGAAAAAAAAACTATAAAAGTAAGAAAATAAACATATGCATTCAAACTGACAGCATGATTATGGGTTTGCCTATCGGCCATTCTTATTCGTCTATGTGGAGTATCCCTCCAGGACTTTGGTGATCATGGCTCTCCACAATTTCCTCTTAATACCTTTTGTCTTTTTGCTGTCTTCCCCAAACCATTGTCCGGCATCCATTCACTCAAGTTCGCAAGATAGTTTATGCGTTGCTTTTTGCTTCTGTTTTACCTTCAGTCTGTCCTGTTCATATCAAAGCCCTCTTCCTCATAGGTGCCCCAGAAATTTCAGCTGCCTCTTCCTGATGTTAAGCAGAAGTGTTCTTTTTGTTGACATTGTCTCTAGAACTTCGTCGATACTCACATTTTCGGTCCAGAGTATCCTCAGTACCTTCCTGTAGAAATATATTTCTCTTGCTTCAAGTCTCTTCTTCATCTGTGGAAAGCTTGTCTAGCAATATAGAATGACTGATTTTACATAACATTTCAGTACTTGTCTCTTTGTCTCTCTCGGGCCTATTTTATCGATTTTTTTTTATGGCTCTCTTAAAAATCATTTGATATATTTTTTGATGTATTGATGACAGTTTCATATAAACAAGAATTCTCGATGAATTCGAAAAAAAAACATTAAAGAATACTCCGAGTCAAACTTTGCTCTCCATGAATTTAATAAGAGTATGTCTAACAATTTAAAATTTTTAATCGCTAAGCGTGAAACAATTCATATTTTCTGAAAGAAAATGATCGGGCATAAATCAAGGAGCATAAATGATAGAGTAAGGGAAATTACATTTATTGAAAGGTAAAAAGATAACATTTTAGGATCTGCAAACATTTAGTCTTAAACATGAACGAAAAATGTCAAGAGGATCACTAGAGTACATGCTTCAGACGTCTGCCATTTATTTGAAGGCATTGTTGAATGCAAAGTTGTTGTTAAAACATGCACATCCCTCCTGGTAAGAAACTCGTTTCCCTATGGTCTTCACAAGTGAAATGAACTTCAAATTTCTTGCCCAACTTGGAAATATGACTCCTGTTTGGAAATGCGTTGAATTTGAACAACCTTCTGTGTCTTGCTTGAACAATCTTGAAAGACTTAGTTTCGTCATATGTCTGCACACAAAAGATCTTCTGCTCCGTCGCCGAAGACATCATTTCGCTCTATTTGGTCGGGTATATCAAAATATTAACTATTTACCATCAATAATCTGAAAAGCAAAAGAAAATGAAGTCGACAGGAAAGATCTGCGAGGCCGCCACTTTATTTAAACAATCGTGAAACACCCTTCAGGCCGGTAAATGTTGGTAATATTGTTTATTATAAACAGAGCATATACTTAAATATTTTATCTATAAAAAGAATGTATAAACATAAAAATGTCTTAAAAGTAGGAATTAATTGGTTAAAAAATCGTTTTTCATCTTAGGAAAAAAGAACATATATATATATATATATCCCTTTCTAACTCTATACATCATAAAATGTTTGTGCCTGTTTCCGGCATAAAAATCAGTATGTGAAACGCTATTACAAATGCAATGACTTATCTTCTAAATTTACCATTAACTGTAATTACACATACACCCGTTACACATGCACGCACATACACAAAGACGCACACACACATAACCAAGTAATAAAAGCGGTAATTCGATTTTGCTCACCAGGCGCTTCCTCTGTAGCTAAATGGTATAGCACGTCAGGCTATATGACGGTTCCGTATAGGATAGAGTTTCGGTTCCTGTCGGAGGACACATATTTTCTATAAAAGTTCTCGGACATTCAGGCCGGTAAATGTTGGTAATATTGTTTATTATAAACAGAGCATTTATTTAAATATTTGTATCTATAAAAATAATGCATAAACAAAAATATATATATGGTGTTTCACAATTTCTTAAACAAAAGGATCTGGCACAAATCAACACTAATACTTTTTAATTTCATTTGCCTTTATCGTGTACTTTCTGTGATATTTACATCTCAAAGGATATCAAATTTTTTGAAACACCCTGTAGTTTAGCAGAAGAATTAAGAGAATCAGGACAAAGATGGCACCCGTCCCCCAACCCAGTTTTCTTGTTTTGAGCAAATGCGTAAGTTTATTGAATCCTTTGGCCCGAGCATATGTTCTTTAAGATGTTTCGTCTTTTGCAAGATGTGCGTATATAAGTAGGCACATTTTGCTTATGGGAAACATCTGTAGATTGTTTATTTTAATCTTTATTTATTTATACATTTATTTTGTTTAATTTTTCGTTTGTGCATTAGTCTTTATATATCTGCCTACCTATCTATGTTAATCTGCTCAGGTCTTCCTATGTTAGTCTGTTCAGGTCTGGTTAAGTTAGTCTGCTCATGTTAGTTTGCTCATGTCTATGTTAGTCTGCTTACGTCTGGCTATGTTAGTCTGCTCATGTCTGACTATATTAGTCTGCTCTTGTTAGTCTGCTAGTGTCTATGTTGGTCTGCTCGTATCTATTTTAGTCAGCTCAGGTTTGGCTATGTTAGTCTGTTCATGTCTGGCTGTTTTAGTCTGGTCTTCTTAGTCTGCTCATGTCTACGTTGGTCTGCTCATGTCTATGTTAGTCTGCTCAGGTCTGGCTATGTTAGTCTGTTCATATCTGGCTATGTTAGTCTGATCTTGTTAGTCTGCTATTGTTACTGCTCATGTCTATGTTAGTCTGCTCAGGTCTTGCTTTGTTAGTCTGCTCAGGTATCTGCTATGTTAGTCTGCTCATGTCTATGTTAGTCTGCTCAGGTCTGGCTATATTAGTCTGTTCATGTTAGTTAGTCTGATCTTGTTAGTCTATGTTAGTGCTCATGTTATGTTAGTCTCTATAAAGTCTGTTCATGTCAATTAGTCTGTCTTATTTTTGTCTATGTTGGTCTGCTCATGTCTATATTCAACCAATCTGGCTATTTTCTTAGAATTGTTATATATCTGCTCATTTATTTATCCTTTCTATGTTAGTCTGCTTATATCTATCTATAAAGCGATACAATCTTGTCTTATTTTTCTTTCTCTTTCTCAGAATATTCAACCAATCTGATTCTTTCTTAGAATGTTATCTATCTATATTTATTTATTCTTTCTAACTCTCTGTATCTATCAGATGATCTATACCATTTATGCATTCTGAATATTTTCTTTCATTTCTATTTATTTCTCTCTCCTCTCTCTCAGCTCCCTAATCTGGTTTTCATTTATTTCCTTCTTTCCCTTCTTTATTTTCTTTCTTTCTTTCTTTCTTTGTGCTTACACAAATGGGGCTGTTTCAATGAACATTTACCTTGAATTGTTTTCATGTAGTTTTAATACAGTTTTCGTACTTCAGTAAAATCCCTGGTGACCCTTTTTTTGTGTAGATGAGCCTGGAGAGAATTAAAAAAACAAAACAAAACAAAAAATAATCATACAAGATTTCCTTCATTTAAAAACAGAAAGAATTGTGCGTATATCGCGAGTCTCCAAGACATATCGTTCGTATTCTTTTGTCTTTTCTTTTTGTTAACTGGTACCACGGAAAGCCTGTGAAAAGCCCAGCATCGCCGTTTATTTATGTTTGCCTTTTGATTGCAAGTCAAGACAATTAACAATACTCAAGGCAGAATAACTTTGTGTTATGGGAAAATAAAGAAAACTGATTCAAGTTCTTGCTTAATAAAACATGATATATATATATTTATATATATATATATATATATATATATATATATATATATATGACTCAGTCCTCGACACAAACCGGATAATTGAAGTTATTTTGTCTTTTCCCGCTAGATAGATATATAAAAATAGGAAAAGCGGAAAATTTTCACGAGCATTATTATTATGGACGATTAGATGATCACACACACACACACACACACACACACACACACACACACACACACACACACACATATATATATATATATATATATATATATATATATATATATATATAGGCAGCATAAGCAAAAACTAAAAATCCTTGAAGCTGTTTAGATAAGAGAATTAAAACCCAAGATAAGTAAAGTCAACTACTAGTATAGCAACAAAGTCCTTAAATGTTTATAAAAAATTCTATATGTATGGGCAAAAATGGAAAAGTTACCTCCCTTCTACTGAAGAAAATAAAACTAAAAAAAAATACACGCAAACTTTGCACTTTGGGATCAAAAACGCTGCTTAAGCAGTACAAAAGAACCGTTGAAATCTGTTGACTTGACAGAAACACAGACGCCCTGAAGATGGTTCCACATGAGATTGAAAGTATTAGGTCGGTGCCAAAAATAATGACGTAATAATGTCGTTTTTTAACGTATTTTTTAACGTCAAAAAACGACATTATTACGTCATTATTTTTGCACCAACCTAATACTTGGGAAAAATAAAACTATTGGAAAAAATTTAGTTATTTATTTTAATCAATTTTCTAAGGCTGCCAAGAAATTAATCCATGAACTTGAAAAGATCACAACGAAAACTAATCGACATATGTCTCAATTATTTCAC